GAAGAGCGTTCATATTGAGAAATACAAGATGATCATTTAGAAGAAGATAAGATCTAGCAAAATTCTTTGAATGAAATCGAAAGGTGTTCAGTATAACAGATTGAGTATTTAGAAGAGATGCTCATTAATAGATAGTTTTTCCAATGAGAGAAGATAACGATATGTTGGTCATGTCAATACTAGGGGTAGAACAGTTCACAGTTCTTTTATAGGAACTTCTCTGTGCTAAAACTCATTTTTTTCAATACGAATTGGAATATTTCTCGGAGAGATATTCTAATTTGTAAAGATCCAGTAAAAACTCACAATTTGTATTTGAAAAAAAGAGTTTTGGTACAGAGAAGCTCCTATAAAAGAACTGTTAGAACAGTTCAGTTCCTGTCAAAAGATCTATTAAATAGTTCCTGAGAACGAAACTAATGTGGAATTGTCCTACCTCTAATTTAGGGACTCGAAGACGGAATAGAGTCTGCACCATAAGCTCAATTAAGAAGCAATAGAAACTAGTTTAATGCTTTTGTGGTTATATTTTCCTTTTATTTACTCACCAGAACGATGGTTCCTGGAGCAGGATTCGAAGAATTTCTAGCAAAATCCCTGAGGAAACTCGCCATTTCTGAGGGGAATCCGCCCGGAAGATGCCAGGAGTCCGAAGGAGAAGCAAGGTAACCGTATCCGGCTACCGGTTTTGACATGTTCCTGTCGGTTCCGGCTTAAACCAGAGAAATCTAGTCACCGGATCCGTTCAACGGGAATACTGCTGCCATAAAACCTCGGGAACACCATGGAACCGGCCGTTTCCGTGCCGGATTGTTCAACCTGGATTGATAAAATATTTATATTCGTTACATATTAGATGGAAGTTTCAGTCAATTGCAAAAATTTTATTTCGTCGTCTTTAGTTCAACTGATTTACCAACACATGATCATGAACAAGTAAGCTGATCATTAATATCTTGTTTTACACGAATATTCACTAATATTCATTTATTTTGTAGATTACAATTTTCAATATGAAATGTTTTTCGATTATATACAAGGAGCGATTATCAAGCTTCGAAAATGATTTAATACCATTGTTAAATCGTATGATAAATTTAGAAGAATTATATTTCCAGTTTTTAAAAATTAATTATCCAATAATTGATAAACATATTTTGAAAAAGAAATTTATTTTTAATGTCGGATCATTAGCTCATTTTAATACTCAACATCATTTACGCAGGGCAAAGATAACGGCCTTGAACGGTAGAAAACCGATAAAATATGGTGAAAGCGGTTCCAAAACGTCGCCGGAATCCGTCGATCCAGAAATGTATAGCACTAAAGGTAAAAAATGACGGCCAATTTCTATTGAAGAAACGATCTGTATTCCGGATTGACGGATTACGGTAAAATACGATTAAAAATACTACAGTAAAACGTCGTTTTATAGTCGTTTCAGGCCGTTTAAGACGCCGTTTCCAATAACCGAAATGGTTAACATGATTTACCGTCAAATGATGATATTAAATGTTCATTTCGAAACTTTAAAAACAATGAAATTTTTTCAAGTATTGATTATTTTCAACACGCAAAGTTACTTTTTTGTCATGTATATACATATCTGTATACCTCAAAATTTTATCATTATTTATCAAACAATTTTCAAGGTAGATTATTTAAATCGGTTCGTGAAATTACATTATACAATGAACATTCATTCAAACATGATTTTTTTCGTATTGCTCAATCGTTTCCATTTCTTACAAAATTAACTATACATAATTATGAACCACAACATAATCATCATTTTAAACAACCAATAATTAAATATTTTCATCTTGTTAAAACTTATCAAGATTATCTTGACGAATTTTTAAACAAGACAAAGACAACGGTACCGTAAACGGCCTTAAACGGTAGAAACCCGGTAAAATATGACTTTAAAACGTCACCGTAATCTGTCGATCTAGAAATGTATAGAAATAAGGAGAAAAACAACGGCCGGTTTCTAGTAAAAAAACGGCCCGTATTCTGGGTTGACGGATTACGGTGAAATGCGACTAAAAATAAGGCAGTAAAACGCCGTTTTATAGTCGTTTCAGACGTCGTTTGTGACAGCCGGAATGGTTAACATGGATGAATGATGTTCACCTTCCGTTTAAAATTACAAGAATATTTTTCGCATGCAAAAATCAATTGATTATTGTCAGATATTATTGAAATAAAATTTGAAATAGAAACACAATCATGTTTAATATTTCATAGGAGAAGAAGATAAGACAAAAATATATTTTGTTAAAAATAATTAGAAAGAATAAAATATGACTTACGCAAATAAGAAAAAAAAATAAACTTACGTAAAAAATAGAATAAAAACTATTAATAGTATTGATTTATCACCACACGTAATCCGATGAATTTTTTTCTTAACCTAGTTACCATTTCTCTTCATATTTTTTGCTTTTTCAATATCTGAAGATTGATTGATTATTCTCAATCCTGAAAGGATGAGTTGGCAGCACGGAAATTAGGGTGTTTGTCCGCAGGGTCAAAAAAACATCGAAAACTGATTTTTTGAAAAAGACATTTCTAAAGGTATTTCGATGTGGGGACTTCGAATTTGAGGTCAGTTGGGTGACCATGGTTAGGGCTGGGTGGGTGAAGAGGATGGGTGTGGGTGAAAGGTCAAAAAAACATCGAAAATTAATTTTCACGAAAAGACATTTTTAGAGATATTTCGATACGGGGAGTTCGAATTGGAGGTCTGTTGGGTGGCCATGGTCACGAGTGGGTGGGTGTGGGTGAAAGGTCAAAAAAACATTGAAAACCGATTTTCTGGAATAGACATTTCTAGAGGTTTTTCGATGCATGGAATCCGAATTTGAGGCCTGTTGGGTGACCACGGTTAGGGGTGGATGGGTGGGTGTGGGTGAAAGGTCAAAAAAACATCGAAAACTGGTTTTCCGGAAAAAAGATTTCTAGAGGTTTTTCGATGCAGGGACTTTGAATCTGAGGACTATTGAGGTGTGGGTCTGGAGGGGGTGGGTGAAGACGGGTTAAAGGTCAAAAAAACATTGATAACCGATTTTTCGAAAAGCACATTTCTGGAGGTATTTCGATGCGAAGAGTTCGAATCTGCGGATTTTTCGGGTGACCGTGTGGAGGGTGGGAAGAGGGATCAAAGGTAAAAAAATATCGAAAATGATTTTTTCACGGTTTTTGTTTGTATTTTCAGTAAATATGGAGAAAATGCTTTTCTACGAGAAAAAGCTAAGCGAGTGCTCGAACGAGCGTTGCTTGTAAGCTCAATAACGTTGGTCAAACATCTAGGGATGGAGACGTCGTTGGTGCGAATGGGGATGGGGGTGGGGAGCTGGATGAACGTGAAAATCAAATAAAATCGAGTATTTTAAAAAGTGCATTTTTAGAGGTATATCAATGAAGAAAAATCGAGTCTAAGGTCTTTTTGATCAGAGAGCTGGAGGGTGTGAGTGAGAAGCTGAGTAAACGTGAGACTCTAGAAATTGAGTTTTTGAAAAAGTGAGTGTGTGTGTGGAAATGTGGATGAGAATATAGAACGGTAAAATATTCACACTCACACCCAAATCTCAAACTCTACAGCTAGATCCACATATACGCCCACCTGACACCCTCTCTAACGACTGCTGTCTCGGAACACTTGATGAAGAGAACCAACTTGATACGAGAAGACAGTAAATGGGATATCAGTCGTAAAATGTAATCTACATCACC